ATTCATGGGACTCGACGAAATTTTGTTATAACATAGTAAATAATTCAACAGCATCCACAGATTAGCACTTCGCTTCATAACTGCCAATATAAAAGTACATTTGTAAACTCAACAATTTTGTATATGATTTTATTAGTTATTTTTCTGCATCCTCACTGTTTTAAAAGACATACATTATAGATAGTTCCTTCAAAGACAGTCACGTACATATCTATATGTCTTTAAAACTATAAGCAAAGCATTCGCAAGTAAAACTTGATTGAAATGCATTTGCGGGACGGCTGAAATTACCATTTTGGATAAAATTCTGTTATAATTTATGTCAATTTCTTTGGATTAATTTTACATTTTGCTAAAACAATTGGGACAACAAAATATTTTAATTCTTGTTTCCTCAATATCTATAAGTTTGTAAAATTATAGCTTACACATTCTTCTGATATTTCAACATTAGAAATTAAATCTAACTTAGGTAGTTTTTTAGGAGAAGAAGATATACAGATTCTTTAAATCATCAATTACATGTTAAAAAGTTTGCTTCTAATTATCACTAATATTATTCTTCATTTAAGAGTCAAAAGTTTAATTGGTATTAACAATGAAATGTATATAAAATCCTTGTTAATTTAATTTAATATCCTTTAGGTCAATGCACGTAGAGTAGTAATCGTTTGCGAATGTGCATTTATTCATTATATAAAATGGGATTATTTCGCATCGCATATTCCATATCAGTAATTAATTAACTTCACATAAATGGTATCAAATGGAAATTCTCATTTATCATCACAAGCACGCATTTTTTTTTGTAATTAAATTGAAAATAAATCCTTTTTATTTTTTATATAAACGATCCTATTTACGAACAGCGGATGATTCGTTATATTTCATTATTAATTTTAATTATTTTTGTGTTATTTAATTTGTTAAAATTAATGATTTACAATGTTTTAATTGGTAAAAAAAATAGTTTAATAATTTACAAATAAACAAAAAATATTTATATACAATTTATTTCATTAGAAGAAGGAAAGAAATTTATTTTCATAATAAAAGAAGAAAATGTAAAAAAATAATAATTATATACAAAAGTTTTTTTTAGCAAATATTTTTTTTATGAAATAGTTAAAAAAATTAAATTACATATTATTAATATGAGGAATGATTGTAATAATTTAAAATATAGTTCAAATCATTACAGTGAAATGATAAATTTAAAAAATAAATATGAATGTTAGTGTCAAAGAATTTGTGTTTGAAAAACAGATGCATAGAAGGAGAGATCTGAGGCAGCGTAATAATTTTCAAATACCAACATTCCAGCTAAAAATATCCCCGAATCAGAAGCGAGAACGTGCCGTAGATGAAACATGGCCATCTTAAATTATAAATGAAAAATGTATTACACACGTTTCGTTCGCGTTTTGTTTTTGTCCACGTTTTTTTTTATTATTTATTTTTCGTTGTTGCCGCTTTTCCGATGTTGTGGTTTTAAATTCCGGTAGCGCAATGTCTGTCAGATGGTCTAGGGGTGGAGGGATTTGTGTGAGTGGCGTTGTTTATAAAATTTATGTATATCGAGAAAAAAATGTATACATTGGAGTGAAGAGACTGAAGAATAAGAAGCGGAAGATGGGGGGATTCCCCGAGTTGGGGAGAGATTAACGGGGGGCTGCTGCTGTCTATTACAGAACGTGTTCTGCTGCCAATCGGGCGACTTAAGGAACCCATCACTCTTCGCCGTCGAATAAAATTGACACTTTCGAGAGGGTTTTAGGAGGAGGAAACCCGCAGAAAATACAAATATTATATCGGGGGACATCAATCATTGCTTTCCCAAATTTCTAATCCAATGAATGCGTGCTTGCGTATCCTTGTTGTTCTTGGTCTTATTCTGCTTCTTATGATCCTAATATGCCCTATATAAGCAGTTTCCACCCTTAACTTATCATCGTTATTCCTAAATTATGCTTTGAGTTATATTTGTTTGACAACATACATATTGTATACTTATCCTACTACTACTATGGATGTATAATTGATATTTAATCACATAATTATTAACACTTTGAAAATAATTTATAAGGATTAATAACTTCGATACAAACGTATTAAATAAACACAAACATTATGTATTTTCCAGCAAAACAATTAAGTTTTTTCATTTTTCTTATGTAATTTTATTAAGTTTATATATTTACAAGAATATTCTAATTTAAATTAATTTATTTCAATATTTCATTAAAATTCTTTATAATTTACTAGAAAACAATAGAATTTAAATAATTTTCAGATGTAAAAACATACATTATTTTATTTACATAATTTTTGACAATTGATATCAATGGAAATAAATCTTGAATATAATTAATATATTATATCTTATTAATATGTAAATCTGTATTATGTGTTGTAACAAAATACAATGACGTAACTGTCATTTGACTAATGATTGCAGCTGTCATTTCAGTTTCAGTATTATTTGACTCAATAATAATTATTACCAACATACAGCAAAAACACTAACTCGCTCTAGGTTGGTACGTCTGAAAAACATAATATTTGTCTGTCAAGCATAATGTCAATGAAAAAAAAGTCATTTTTTTTCAAAAAATAAGTAATTTTTTAAGTTGAACACCAAAGAAATGGATATGCATAGGACATCTGAGGTAGTGTTACATAATGTTCATGGTGAGTTTGTTCTTTTATATTATAAAATAGAAAATTTAAATCTGATTATAAACGCTATTGAAATATACAAGATGTTCAAATTGGAATTACTTGGGAAATAGAAAAAGAAATCTCCACGAAATTGTAATTTTAATATTTCATTAACAATAGGTTATTGACCAAAACAAGTTGTTTATGCGTCATTGTGTGATTTTCCATAAAACGTGAATACTGAAATTAAAAAACAATAGAATTAAACCAAATCCAATTCCAAAGAAAGAAAAGACGATTGCAATTAGTAACATGTTTAATGAATAATGGCTACTATTTGTTTATGTTATTTGAATCAATAACTTGGACTGTTGTAAAATAATTTACATCATTCTATGTATTAAGTCTCTGAGAGTGTAGAAATCTGCTCAAAGTCAATAATCGTATTATATGACAATTTCAATACATGTAGACTGGGAAATCTAAAGAAAAAAGTCGTATTTGTTAAGTGAAGTAATACTGAATGAATTATAATAAAACTAATCGAAGTAATCAACTTATTGTGAGATTTCTTTGTAAAAGAACAGTTTTAGATAATTTTTATTATTGAAGCAATGAAAGATTTTAAAAATCGTTTAACTAAATGTTTCTAAATAAGAAATTCATGTTTTTGTGCTTCAGTCTGGAAACTTTCTAATCTATTCTTGTTTATAGTTGTAGTTCAGATCTATCTCTGTCACAATACTAATTTATGAGTATACACAAGAAGCATGTGTATACGCATCAAATATATCAAAAGTAGTCTTGTCTATTTCATTTACGCAAATACACGTTCTTTGATATTAAAAAAAGTTACTATAGATTGGACATGCTTTATTTGTATTCATTCCCTAAAATTATAATCTCATGGCAGCAGCGCTCAGATAAACACTCTCGCCTCTACAAGGAGACGTCGCTGTTCTGGTTCTTCTGCACCTAATATGCATTACATAAGAAGCCTTCAGCCTTATGTAACGGACGGGACAGGATCGGTCCGACCACACACAAACAGATCATCAGCATTCTGCCGTGTCCGGGGCCATGTCAACAGCACTTTGGATGCACATTCACGCGCGTCCATCACGTCTCTCTCGCGCCTCGCAGTCTTCCTCCATCTGCTTTTTCAAAAATTTCCCGCTCTCCGACCGCAGTAATTTTAGTCGACGCGCTAATTCTGCACACCGCTGCTAAATTCACAAGAGCCAAGATCCAAGTCGGATTATTGCGACCGGATGCAAATTCGCATCATCCTCCTAAATAAAACCAAAGCTGCAGTCGGGAGAGTTAAATGAACTTCACCTACGACCATTTCGTTGACAACGTTATTACAACCCAATACCATTCGGATAATAAACACATTTGGGTATTACAACGTTAAACGCTTGTATATATTATACATACACACATACATACAGAGACTTAAATCTATTTATTCACCGGAATTCCACATTTGCTGACTCATTAGGAGATTCAACTGCAACAGTCATAGGTTTTAAACGGACGACGTTTACTTAGAATCAAAGGCACTTGCAATTTATATCAAGAAACACTATTCGAGAAATCACCAGAAGACTTCTACAACATACTTAATCTTACTGATGCATCGTCCTTGACTAATTAAAAACAGTAAGCTTTCAAGTTTAGAAGTTTTTTTTCAAGAACATTCATTATTTTTAATAACTAGAATCTACTCATATTCGTAACTAATTACAATTAGTATGACAGAACCATTAATTTTACCAACCAAAAATCTAAATCTTAAATATGATTTATTATGGGAAAATGTGTTGTAACGTATCAATTTCATATATTTACTTGTATTTTTAATCATCATTTTTTACTTAAATTTCACTTTTTTTTAAATAAACATTAAATCGACTACAAAATACATGTTTTATTAGTACTTATAAATTTAAGCCAATTTTTGGTATCCTTCAAATATTTATAATTTTCCATTAGAAATTTATTGATGTCAAGTGTTTCAACTGTTATGTTATCATACGTTGTTGTTTGTTGTTACATAAGTTTATCAGTTGTACCAACTGTTATATAAGTTTAATTGTAATTTATACAACATATCAAGCAAAGTGTGAATGCAGCATTATATTAATTATATAAAAATTAGTTAATTTTTTAATAAAATGCAATAAGTTTGTAAACAAAAATATATGAAATGAAGTTGTTCTCAACATAAATAACTGAGCAATATTATCTGTCATAGTAGACTGTGTTATGGGCAATTATAGTTACGTACATTCAAATCAAGTAACATTTATTATACGGTGACTGTTGATCTGACGTTTATAGTTTGCTCGAAAACACAGAACCTAAAGTATTTTACAATTACTTAAGTATACTATAAACTAGGAGGACGGCAATTAAAAAGCTTCCTCGTGTACGTACGTCGCCTCGTCATTTGAATTTGCTACGTGGGTTGCACAATTAGTATAAAAGCTTCACCATCTGCGAAAGCTATTGTGCATTCCATTTCTTCTCCAAATAAAAAAAAAATGAGTGGAAAAAGTGGCAAACGTTAATCGAATTATATTATACGAATGTATATTTTTTTTGTGTGTAAGTGGATTGCTTATAAATCCCAGAGGTTGGTGGGTCTTCCTCCTCATCCTCATCCTACTCTTCCATAAAGGAACGGAAATCCCCCGATGCGGCATTAACAATTAAATACAACACGATGCACATTGGTTGCCGTTTCTGTTTAAGGGAAAGTCCTCCGGTTTTCGAGGCTCGGGATTAGCCTTATTCGGCGCAGCAGTAGCAGCAGACCCTCTCCGTATATGTAAATTCTGAATTTTGTTTACATCCTTACGGGGGCCTCATCCTAAGCGGATTCCGCCTCTGGATTTAACGACGGAGCGAAGTGGATCATAATTGAAATTAATGTTATGCAACCGCCCAAAATCTGAAACCCAAAATACAGGCAATAAGACAGACACAAGGACACATGTCCTTATACTATTCAAATTAACATCCCTGCTTAATACTGCAATCAACAAACCAATTAATTTGATACCAATATGAAAATGCAACAGCCAAAAATATACATCTAAAAGTTCAAACAATAAAACGTAGCCATCTACATATTATTTAAATTTATGTTTACGGAAGAAACAGTTGTTATTGTTGTTGTGCGATTTATAACTTAAAAATAATGACATTTATTTATTAAAATATATTTGAGAATAAAAAATATGTGAAACATTCAAATCAAAAGAGATGGTTTCCTAGAATGGACCATTTAAGCAAAAGTACATATTGTACAAAAAGTACATTCACTGCAGTATACTGAATGACTTCTTCTTTAGTACCTGAATATAAAATAATCATGTGATGATTTTGTATCTTAATAAGTGATAAAAATAATTTGTTCAAAATTTGAAGATTTCACTTTCTTAACTTTTTTCGCTTTAGCTTTCTATGATATGGATTTGTAGGAACTACTTGTTATTACACTATCTCCAATTTGACTGGTCCAATTTAGGCAATATCTTGTGGTATGCAATTAGACAACTTTTACACAAAAAAAATGAAAATATTTCACCTAACCTTTTGAACTATTATAGAATCTGTAATTAAGTCTATTTTAAAAGACTAATTCTGATATTTATTTTAAGATACTTTAAAGTATACTTTATAGTGAAAACAATAATTGATAACTGCTTGAAGACAACTGCATCCACGGCATACTTGATCATAAGTTTGCTTAGCGTCTAGAAAACCTCTATTGGTTATATGCTACATTGCGCAAATTACCATAGTGGTCCAACGTAGGCACCGGTCCGAATTAGGCAACCCTTAATCAATATAATTCCAAAATGGTGCTTATACTATTATATTATACAAATTAATCATTACTATATAAATTACAATGCAATACCAACCCGCAAAAAAACACAATGAAAAATAATAATATAATTGTTTTATAACGAAAATATCATTCCATTATTTGCATATGATTATTTGACGTTTCCCCTCGTATCTGCAGTGTCACACTATAAATGATTCTTTGTTCATTCTCTGCTCGCCATTATTTTCTAGTCACTTTTTCTTTCTTTTTTTTTTCTCTCTCATTGTTTATTTGTCGCGTTCGAGCTGCAAAATATTCACGGATTAAAATCTCCAAATGGAATTCGAGCTTACAAAAGCGTCGCGACAAAAGAGAATTAACAATCCGCAGCGTCAATTAATTTTTTGGGACAAAGCCCGTCGAATAATAGCTCGAACCCAGCAAAACACAGGAATGTACAGTTTTATTTCGACGGCGTGGAAACGAGCTTCCCCCAACGGTGGTTTGTTTGTTTATTTTTTTTTTGTTATACCCATGTTTCGTTTCGTCTCTCATTTTTTTTTAAATTTTCTGTTCGTTTGTTTCATTTACGCCTCCCCCCGTTTTTAATTGATAATCGTAATGAATGGGTGAAGAGAAAATAATTTGTAATTGAATATAAAAAGGGATTAGTTTATGTGCTGGTAATTGTAATGGCCTTTGGGAAAAAAACAAAACAAGAGTAGTTTTGTTATTCTTTTTTGGATGTTTTTAGATAGAATTTTGATACGATGAATTAGTTTCAGTCTTTTGTATTAAGCTTCAATCTGTATCCATTTTTCAGGAAGAATTACTTACAAATGTTTATTTTCTGACAAGCTAACTTAAGCTACACCAAAATAACTTGTCCAATCTTAACATATTTTTGTAGAAGGGTTTATGTTGAACCTTTGTCTAAAATTAGGTTAAGATAGATAAAGTTGATCTAATGTTATGTTCGATTGGGAACATAACCTACCATAATCTAACCTTAGTTTTGAAGGCAATGAAAACACTTTGAAGTATGCCTTTGAGATTCTTAATGATGAAAGTTTTACTTTTTATAGACGAGTATTTGCTCCTACCGAAACTAACCTAAAGTTAGTTAAAGTTAACGCACTAATTATGTTAAACTATTGAAGTAATTAATTAGCTTGTAGTTACTATATTATGTAACGATCAAAGTAATTTATTTACTTTTTTTATATTGTATCAACTACATTTTTTTTTTCATTATTTCTCAAAGATATTACCGCATATATTTGCAAGTTATGTACATTAAGAATGTTAATGGAAAAGTTTACAAACTATTTGGTTAGTTACTGATATTAATATCTAATAGTTAAAAGTCTATATTATAAATGTTAATTAACGTTTTGCAATGATAATTACAATTATTCTTTGGGATAAAACAATTTGTAACTGAATATAAGTAGATTAGTTTGGAAGCCATTAATGGTATTGGATAACAAAAAACAAGGATAATTTCTTTGTTTTTGTTTATTTTTGGGGGTTGGAAGAGAATCGGATAGTGCGGAAGGGTTGAAACGCGCGAACGTCGAATGGGCTGCAATTAGTTGCAGTGGGTAGGTAGGTGGATCGTTAAAATCTACGGCTCTCTCTCTCTCTCTTTCCTACGCCGTAAATCACGCGCTCAATTCTTGTTGCGTTTTCGATTTTATCGTTATTTATTTGACCATTAATTACACACAAGTTCATAAACTGGAACTACAAGAACTCGTTAGTTACCAACTATTAACGGAGCCCTAATTATGCCGCGGTCATCCATCATCGATCGATTAATTACGTAACTTCTTTTCGCCGCGCCCGCGCGCCCCTCCGATCTTCATACCAGCAGCGAAGTTGGAAAACTTTGCGATGAACGCTTTAAGATTATGCTAAAACTTGATTCGACGTTGGTATTTAGATTGCGTCGAGCAATATTTAATAATGTTTATCTAAATACTTGATTAATTTCAAAGGAACTTCTTCTATAGCAGTAAAACAAAATTGGGATGATAATAATAACAAGTTTATGTCTTTAATGCAATATGTACTACAATTACATAATTATACTGTCTTGTGTACATAATAGTTCGAATATTTCAACTTACGTACGTCCAAGTTTTTTTTGTTGTAAGTCAAAAAGTGTATCAGTTCTAATTTTTTATAAGTTCATATAATGTAATTAATGTTTTTCTTTGATTCGATTGAAGGTAATTACTAAATGTTTTTTTTTAATATGAGATTATTAGTTTTAAACAAAGACTTGTGAAGGTGTGAATTGGTAAACGTTTAATGTAATCGGTTTTATATCGATTAAATTAACTTACTTGGAAGATGAAGGCGACATTGAGATCGAACCATCCTCGAGCTTTAAACACGAAATCCGAGTTGAGCAGCTTCAGCAGTAATCTCTTAATCTGAAAAGAGAGCGAGACTGAAATATGATTAGATCCCAATTTGCTTAATGGCTTTACATCGGCCTGATCACCTCCGGTCTTCCCGAGGCGCGACACAAAGAGCACCCGAAACCGATCGATCTCCCACTTAGTGAGGTCACAGGTAATCAGGATGCTCGTCACCGAGATCACCTCGACGGCGCTCCACGAGATGGCGAACAAAAAATTACGAAATTCGCAGCGATCCGCAAAACCGTTCCTCAAGATAACAAGGATGTAGTACAACTGGTAGCAGATCCAAATGTAGCTTTTGGTTATCACTAAGATATTTTGGTAACCGAAAGCTTTGTTGATCTCTTTTGTGATTGAGAGTAGACGAATGTAGAAGTGGAGGAGGTATTCGAGGTGATTCGTGTCTTTAGCACAGTTGAGTTCTCTATTGAGATGAACGAAGTAAGATTTCGTGTGTAAGACGTAATCGACGAATTGGAAGATGGCCAAGCAGATGGCAATGTTCGGAAGGGTAGTTCCCAAAGTGTAAATGAAAAAATCGTAAACGCTGAAGGAATAGCAATGGTAAATTAAGATGAAAAAGCAAAAGGTTAACTGTGGTATAACAATATAATCGACTTTGTAATGTGGACGTGACGATATCCATTCTTGCATCTCTGTAGTGCAGCTCCTTGTCTTCCTGAAGAAGTTCCTCACTTTATTCCTATAATAAATCAAGAAAGAGTAGATCCACACCAAGTTGAACATCACAATGAAATTGGCCAAAGCGAACGCCCACGAGGATAAACTAAAGTGTTCCTTGACCAAATAATCCATCGTCAAGTTGAGTTGAGCCGTAAAGCAGATGATGGCTTTCATGAGGCTTCTGGCTATGTAAGATTTCGCGTTGTACACGAAACTTATCTTGCCACGTGGACTTTTCTGAATCTCGAATGGGAACATCGCCAGCGAGTTGGCCAACTTCAAGTAGAATGAGGTGGAGGCCGTTATCGACATCGGTGTTCGCTTCACTCTGCGCTCTTTTCGTTATTTCGACAATGCGAAGCTCTTCATTATCTTGCGAATGCATCAAATTAGAACGCCCACATTGTTAATTAAGGCCCGACGTTTTCCGAGACGCTACGCCCTTCTTTCAATCTTCTTGCCAACTTCTTGATAAGGGAACCTCAGGAACGTTAACGTTTTCTGTTTCAAATCAATGATTTCATAAAATTACATTCAATACGAAAATATTTAACGTCTATTGTTTAATTTAATTAGAAATCTAATAAATCATATATTTATTAATAAACTGCTTTTAATTAAATATTTCTAATTCAGAAATATTTAAAATTTTTAATTATAAATTAGATTTTATTAAATAATTATGAAGAATATATTTTTTTTTCTTTCATCAAACTAAAAATACAAAAATGTGTTTCCATTTAAATTATTTATACTGTGTACAGTTTTTTTTTGTTGTAGTCACTTAATTTAGTACATATTTTGTGACATTTTTGTCACCAGAGCCGCATGCGGCTCCCGGCTCGCACAGTTAAGCTAAAGTAATGCTAAGTGCGGCTCTGTAGACGATTTTAAATCAAGTGGCTCTTTGCTCCAAAATAGCTGCCGACCTCTGTATTATATATAATAAATTTCTTGCGTAAGTTCTTATAAATAATGTATATTTAAATAAGTTATATGCATTTATTTCCACTGTCGGTTTGATATAAATATATATTTATTTCTTTGTGATCGTTCCGTTTTATAAATTACACGCTTTATGCGTAATATATGTAAACATCGCAGCAAGAGCGTGAACGTGAAATTTATTTGGTAAATATGAAAATAGAGAAAGTACGGGGCGAAAGAATGTTGAAGAATGCGTATTTATCATCAAATACGTTCGAAATCGGGAAGTGTTTTACGCTTTCGGCGTGTGTGGGTCGTTCGTTGTGTTTCTGGTCCAGAGCAAGGAGGATGTGAATGAATCATAAAGCCCTAATGGACAGAACGAAAGAGTAAAAGAATAGTGTGAGAGAGTGAGTATCGAATTGGAAGGGTTTTTCCCACGAAAGTCAATTTTTAAGTGGTCAACATAAACCAAACCCAAAGAAAAATTCCATCTCTCTCATTCTCACGTTCATTTTCGTCCTGGCTCCAAAGTAATAATAATAATAATAAAAAATAAACGTATGGGAAACGATGTGTCACGTGCGTGGAAAGCCGTCTTTTCCAGTAATAAGCGTACGTAGTCATCGACGAGGGGGCGAGAAATACAATAACCGAGGGGGCGGTCTTCGTGTTTATTATCTTGTGGGAAATTGTAATTAAATTAATCAACGGACGGAACGCCTTTCTTTGTTCCACGATGTAACTGAAACAAAAGAAAACAAAGTAAAAAACAAAAGATAAAAACGAAAAGAAAACAAAAAAGATGACAACGAAGAAGAAAAAAATGAGACATAAGGAACGTGCATATCCTCTTTGGAAATCATGCGATATTCACGCCCCGACCTAGGCGTAATTTTCTGCAGACCCTCCGAAAACGCAAGAAGTCGCAGTTCGCGAGAGATGGTCATCTCGGAGACGTGACCGGAATGTTTGAAGCATCATATCTGCTGGAAGCATCGTCGGAATATGAAATTCGGATGTCCCCGACAACCAGAATGCTCAATTAATTGTGATTTATGGAGCGCACTTCTCATCGTCACGTATTTTTCCTCCAGAATTGCCACTGACAATCTTTCCGAAAAACGCATTCCAATTCCAACATTAAACACAGTTTTTATTTAGTACGAATACAAATGTTTACACACATTCAATTTCAGTAACTAAATTTGAGATTATTTATTAGAACAACTATAGAATTACATAAATAATTATAGAAAAGTACAATTTTCATCAAAAATACAAGGAAACTATATTTAAAAAAAAACAATGAAAGAGTTGCAATTAAGTGCACTAAACCATGTTAGAATTGTCTGATTCATAAATGTTTCATTCAAAATTACTATTTCAATTTATTCACATATTGAACCAATAACTCTACTTGGTGGAAAACTTTGGTAATTTAAGATCATATTAGTAATTACTCCTTAAGTATTATTTTTTTCTTATCTAAATACAGCAATGCCTCATATAGTGCGGTTTCAATCAGTCCGGATTCACTGGACTAGACTAATTTGAAAATTTCAAAACCAACTAATCTTTATTTGAAATTTATCGTTTCTTTCTTTCGTTATACAGTAAAGACTATTAATTTTATACGGATTTAAAATCCTCGATTAATCCGGTTTCTATCTTTGGCATTGGCTGTATAAGTAATCGATGCACTCACTATACGATGTATACTCATATTTTTGCTTAGTTATTTATATTACATTTGTAGCATACAAACTAAATAAAAAAATAATTTATTGTTATCTATTAAACTCAAAACATAATTCGTATTACGTAAAACGTTGTTGAATTAACTATAAATTACGCGTTGCGTCTAAATTTTACAGTTTTTTTTTTAAATTTATTTAACAATAAGAAGAATGCATGAATAATTCTTGTAAAATGTCACAAGAAGTCGGTATAGATTTCGGACACAATGAGATGTTATCACGCGTTATCCGCGTAGTGCCATTGACCCGGGTCCTGACCCGACCATAAATTTTCAATTGTATGTTGTACAACCAATAAATAAGCGTAAATTAATTGCCATACGCATAGGCATCGCATTCCTGCCTTGTTTAGGTTATCTACAGATGTAATTACTACTTCACTGCATGCTACAAATGCGCTTTGTTGTGATGAAGATAAACTTTGCGTATAGTGAGAATACGAAAAAGAAATTTATTTAATTTTTTTATTAAATTATATTAAGTATTTTTTAATTTTTCTCATAATTAATGATACAAACTTATGTAGAAATGACGAAATATTTATATAAAATTTGATATTTTTAGGCTCTTGAATAATTGAAAAGATTTCTTAAACCGTTGTAATAACAATGTAAATTTATATTGATTCGTTAAAAAGTTGTTGAGAAACTTAATAGTAACGTTTCTTTTATGACAATTTGTACTTTTTTTTTTTCATAATAAAACAAAATTTTCAATATTTAATTAATTATGAATTTAAATTAATAAATTAATCAAAATCAGTTTCATATACTTAGTAGATAAATTTCAAATAAAATCAATACAATTTCAGTATAATTTAGTTATATAGTGCGAATTTGAAAAAATAAACATATTTTTTCGTTAATGGAAATTTATAAAAAAAATAATGTACCTGCAAAAAAAAAACTATACTAATAACACTTAAATAAAATCAAGTTTAGTATTATTATATAGTGTAGATTTGTAAAATCAGAGCTGTTATCGTGTTCATTCAAACATTAAATTGTCATCATTGGTTGGTATAATGCTTATGTACATTCGTTGCGGAGGAGTTCAAAGGTCCGGAAAGATTAAAATAAGAGCTGTGTAAAATAGAGATGCACGTGTGAATAAATAAATGCATTGCACGTTTCGCATCATGTAAAATTGCGAACGTCTTAAAGCCGTGGAGGGACAACAGGGGTCGCTCTAAATTTATCGTCACCCTTTTCTCAGCGCAACCTCCGATGGAATTCCTCCTTTTTCTTTTATGTCTCTCTTTCTATCCCGTTGTCTTTTTACTCCTGCTTTCAACGTTTTTCTTTTCTTCCTTGCTCTCCCCCGCATTTCGCGCGACTCAAGGAGGAGGAGGTGGTGGAATCTCATGCATTTCAGAGACGGACGGACACCGTCTCTCCCCCTGAACTACTACATCAACTTCGTGCATCTCGGACGCGTGACGTCACGTGGCGGCAATTGTTCTCGCGATTTGTGCATCCAACGAAACTCGAATCTCACTTCTTCCCCCAACATCGGCAGATGCGATATAAACCCCAACAAAGATTTACGATCAATTTACCTGTAATTCTCAATTATAATGATACTTTTATTGCACACTCAGAGGTTTGTCAGTCTTGTATTTATTATTGTGAAATACACTTCCAATTATTGCATAAAGCATTTCAATTAATGGATAGATTTACAAAAGTACTAAATGGTACTTAAATATGCCCAATTAACAGTAATTAATACATTTTTAATCATTTATTTAAATTTATTGCATTTTTTTAATATAATAATAATTGCAAATAATGCACATACAAGCGTACTAACTGGTATATAAATTTGTATAGTCTGTAAAGTTGGCTAGATTGTCCAAGATTTAAACATTAAAAAACATTATTAAAGAAATAAATTCTTTGGGGTGATTAGCAATTAAAATATTGTATTTTTTTTAGATTTCAAGATGCAGCCCTTGCAAAATTTGATATAAGGAAACAGTCAAAAAGATTCTGCCTTTTGCTAACTTGGTTAAATTACCCCAAATTGAACAAAGAAATGAAATTATTTGTGGTAATGATGAGCAATTAAAATATTGTATTTTTTTTAGATATCAGGGGCTGCATAGGCTTGCAAAATTGTATAGAAGGAAACAGTCAAAAAGTTTCTCCTTTTTGCAACAACCTACCTTTGCTAATTATGTTAAATTATCCCAAATAGGATAAAGAAATGAAATTATTTGAGGTAATGATAGGCAATTAAAATATTGTATTCATATAGACGTCAAGGGTTGAATCGGCTTTCAAAATTGCACATAAGGAAACAATCAAAAAGTTTATGCCTTTTGCAACAAACTACCTTTACTAACTGGGTTAAATTACCCCAAATTGAACAAAGAAATGAAATTATTTGGGGTAATGATGAGCAATTAAAATATTGTATTTTTTTAGATTTCAAGTGCTGCAGATGCTTGCAAAATTGTATATAAGAAAACAGTCAAGAAGTTTCTGCCTTTCGCAACAACCTACCTTTGCTGACTGGGCTAAATTGCCCCAAATTGAATAAAGAAATGAAAATATTTGGGGTAATAATAAGCAATTAAAATATTGTATTTCTTTAGATATCAAAATTGTATATATGGAAATT